AAAAAAAAAAAAAAAAAAAAAAAAAGTCTGTACTGCAGATACAAACCTTATTTTTACAGAGTTCTGCATATGTTCCTTCAAATCCTCTTTTCTTTGCCCAGCCTGGCATAACTTCAGAATCCGGCACCACAATTCCCACCAGGAAGGCCTGTAGGTAAAGGAGAGGGAGAGTTGCAGGGGAAAGCTGAACTACATTCCAGGCTCTACATTGAAGTGAATACACAAGTCAGCTGAATTTCAGCATGTTTACCACTTCTTGTTTACTTATGTAAACAATTTGCTGACATATCGTCATGAAGTACATTCAGATGTCTGTGCCTTTTTGTCAGATAAAAGGTTGTCTGTGACTGTACATTTACCAGTAGTTTTAGTACTCTCAGTTGGGTTTGTGCTCTTCTTGGACATTAACAACTCACATGGCCCTGCAAGTCCCAGGCAAACTCTGATGACAAGTGAAGGCTCATGCTTGAATGCAGAGGATGAATTGCCATGGTTTCAAAAGCTGTAGGTGTGCGTATAAATGTGAAAATTAACAGAATAAGGTTGGTGAGAATGGGCAGGCAGTGTGGGGGGCAGCAATGGCTTTGCCTTTGCCTGGCTTACCACAGGCATGGTGGCAAAGGACAGCATTGGAGACCCAAAGAGTGACACCAAAATCAACTTATTAAAGACTTGATCTTTGGCCACAGCATTCTCTAAGCTGCTCAAGGTCACACCAGCAGCTCAGTTCCTGCCTGGCTGTCAGCCAGCTCCAAAGCAGGAGGGAGACAATGTGGCGTGATCCACTCACATTTTCCCTTCATTCATGCCCAGCTCTGTCTTCTAACTACTAAGAGTAAAGCAAGATTTTCTGAAAGCTTGGTTTCTACCTGCAGGCTGTCTCCATGGACATAGATCTGAGCAACAGGGTCACTGCGAATGTAGATATTCTCTATCTTCTCTGGTGCAATATATTCTCCCTGAGCAAGTTTAAATATATGCTTTTTCCGATCAATGATTTTAAGGGTTCCATTCTGTTAGGAGAAAGAAATGAGAATTCCCAGAGAAGTTATTTAACTACAGAAACTCAGCAAGCAGTCTGTCCTTAACAGTGTGTTCAATTGCCTTTTGTGCTTTCAAATGCTTCACTGACATATCAAGCTTATTTTGCCAAATATAAACTTAATCCTTTGTAAAGACAGACCTGCTTGGAAACCTAAATTCAGTCCATGAAAATTTACATGGGATTATACAACTGCCGTAAGAACTCTGTGTGCGTCCAGTACGCACAGGTAGCCATTTTCCAATGTCTCCTGTGTGAAGCCAGCCCTCCTGGTCCAGCGCTTCAGCTGTCCTCTCTTCATCTTTCAAGTAACCTTTAAACACATTGGGTCCTTTCACACAGATCTGAAAAACACCCAGGGGTGATGATGAATTATTTTCTTATTCTGCTTAAAATACAAATTAAGTAGTAACTCAAAAAATTTGAAATACTTTAATGACTGTGCTCCATGAAACTAAAATAGATTGGGTTATTAAACTATCTATGGAGTTTTTTCAAGCTAATGGAAATATGAAGTAGGGTTTGCAAAACTGATTTGTTTGAAGATGATTTGCATTCCATTTGCAGTTAAAAATAAAAAAGTTATTTCAGTAAGATTAATTTTTGTGTAGTATAGAAATCACAGCAATGTAGAAATCACAACCAATTCAGCTCTTCTTTGCTGAACTAATTCATTGAGTCTTAGCAGTTCAAGGAATCAGTCTGGAAGTAGTGCCACAGTTCCTTTTTCATTAATTCTTTGCTGCTTTATTGTTAAACTGCCATTTTCCTTTCCTGATTGCACTATGTAACACATCAGCAACCATGCATCCTACAAAGGTAAAATAATTCTATAAACTACTTCATACAGTGTTAACTAGTGAGAATTTTATATAAAAATGTGATTTGCTACCTCTCCTTCTCCTTTGGAAGCAAAATAATTCAGTTCTTCCACATCCTTCAATCTGATTAAGTTACAGGGCAAAGGAGCTCCTACATGACCTGGAAATCAAAGTTATCAAGTCACTTGTCATCTCTTCCATAAAAAATAATTAGAATTTTATCATTAGTTACTTGCATAGTTGTAGATACACTGGATGTTCTTGCAGGAGCTGTGTCTGTGTGCAGAACTAATTTCCTTAATTAAGGTTTTGCACTATTAAAACTAAATACTGACACCTCCTCTTTGGATATAAAACTTATTCTGAAATAGCCTAGAGTGGTTTGGATTGGAAGGGACCTTAAAATTCCAACCCCCTGCCATGGGCAGGAAGACTTTCCACTAGATCAAGTTTCTGCAAGCCCCATCCAACCTGGCCCTGATGTTACAGTCCATAATTTCCTAAAGGAACGTGCATTTCTTTCATTTCTTCAATTGCTGGAAGAAAATAATTACCTGATGTCCAGTCACCTGGAGTTGTAAAGGTGCATCCAGCTGTGCATTCTGTTTGGCCATAGCCTTCATAAACCTGACAAAGAGACAGGTATCTTTAAAATATCATAAAAGATTTTGCTATTACAAACCGACATCCCAAGCATTGCTCTCTCTTGCACAGTCCTGTGAGCTGAACCTGCAGCTGCAATGTGTGGATTCCCATTTGCCATGAGGACACTGTCCCTGGCTTCTACTGTGTACAAAATTCCATTTACATAACTAGGAAAGACCATGGCTCTATAATGTTGAAAATAGAGAGAAGATGAGTTGAGCACTTAGCCTTTGAGTCAGGACATATGCTACACTATGAGAAGAACTTATTAGTGGGAAAAAAAGGGTATTTTTATGGGACATTTTGAAAATCCACCCTTTTTTTTCCCTGACTAATTTTAGGCCCTCAAAGGAGACCTTTCGGTTGCCCTGGGCTTCTTATCACAGAGAAATAATGCAGTGGACATCTCAAGTGGGTTAGGCTGATACTTGAAGATTAGCTCTCTCCATTTATATGTAGTATAAAACTCATGTAATTAAGTTCCCAGCACTTGCACAAACACATTTAATTGCACTTTCTCAGTTTGGTGCTGAGAGGTGGGTAGGATGAGTCTATGGGGTTTTTCTGGGAGATGCCCAGAATGAAAACATCTCTTGCCTGCTACTACCATCCCAGGGCTGTTCCCACCCCACTGAGCTCTGGGTGTACCAGGACTCCATGGCTGCCTCAAGCCCTGCTGTTGGATCCATCCTGGTACAGCTGTCCTGAGGGTCTAACCCATCTCCTTTCTTAAATACCGTGTGTATTCTTGGTAGCAGTGGATGAACATCCCTGAACAGCCACACAAACCCACCTGGCATCCAAGGGCCGCGCGGAGGAAGCCCAGGACAGTTGGAGATGCAGGGGCAGCACCTGTCACTATCATGCGGACACACCCCCCAAGACTTGCCTGTTTGGTAACAGGAGGAAACAAAAAAAAGCATCAGAAGCTATTGCAGATGGCAAAACCATGAGCTTGCACAAAATGCTCTCTCTACAACAGATGTGCAGGATTTCCTGCCCATGGCAAGGTGTCAGACTTAAATGATCTTCAAGGCTCTTCAAACCCAACCATTCTGTGGCCACATGTGAGGTGGCCATGTATAAAAATATGAACTAGCTCTGAAACTTTCCTGAGGGATAAAACCCCATTCAGTGAACAGAGACAGGAGTGCCCACATCCCTGGCAGGACAAGCAGCTCAGCTTGGGCTCCTGCGACTGCTGTGCCTGGGCAGGCTACAGACCTGGCTCTGGGAACTGCTGGGAAAAACAGACTCTTCCCCCATCCATTCTTCTTTGCTTATTTACACCTCATTGGTTTTAATGAATTGCTTCCCAAGCCCTCTAAAATAATGTTGTCCCTTTTTAAAGGCAAATGACCTTCAAATATTTCTGGAGGGTATTACATAAATTCCTGTGTCCCATTTTACTTCTTTCTACTCCCCCTTCATTTCCTTTTCTTTATTCTAAAAGTAAAAAAATAAAACCCAGCACGAAAGAAAACAACTGCTGACTGAATCTGCCTGTCTTGCCACTCCTCTAATCAATATGCAGCCTGGCTTGCTCCTGGCTGGGTGAACTCTACTATCTTTGTACACTGAGGACAACTAATCCATAGACCCCAAGTACAGTCAGTTTCTTTAGTTAAAAATAAAGTGGCATGTCGCCAGATAAGTCATCCAAGTAAAATAATGAAGTAATTAGAGCCTTCTGGAGTAGTACAGAGCCCAAAAGAAAATGGTTTAAAGCCAATTTAATATCTTTTTTTACTGACATGTGTGGCAAACAGAAGGGCATTCTGATTTCTTTCCTCATGGTTAAACCATGATTCATGTGTGCATTTTTCTTTACAACCTTATTCTTTTCCTAGGAGTTGACTATGCCCAACTGAAACCCAACCCTAAATCGAATCCTATTTGTTGAGATTTTGCAGAAACTTTGGAGCAACATCTCTTTGATCAGTAACTCCTCTTTTAATGATTACCTTTCGAAATTTCATCCCTAGATACCTTTCCTCCCCTGCAGGGGCACAGTTTCTGAGAGCTGCAAAAAATTTTTGGCACTATTCCATAAATTAGTGTTTTCTTGGTGCTGCTGAAGAAGGATGTGGCAAATGTTATCTTAGCCTGCCTTCTGTTTCTCCATTTCCTTCTGGAAAGTTATCCCTGAGAGAATTGAAATTTTGACATTATGCATGGTGTTGCAAAAAAATAAAAATTAATTTGGCAAAACTTCACAGAGCAAGAAACTGTGCTCAGTTCCCTTTTCCTATTCCATTTTCCACTCTGTTATTCACTCATTAATAGTGATTACCCACAGTTCATCCTCAGGCAAGTGGGCTACACTGACTTTACGGAATCATAGAATAGAATTATTAAGGCTGGAAAAGACCTCTATGATGATCATCAAGTCCCACCATCAACCCAGCATCAGCATCATATTCACAACTAAAACGTAACCTCAAGTGCCACATCCACTCTTTTTTAACACTTTCAGGGATGGTAACTCCATCACTACCCTCGGCAGCCTGTTCCAATGCTTGACAACCCTATCCATGAAGAAATTTTTCCTACTGTCTGAAACTCCCTTGTCAGAAAACCAGTCATTGCTAGAAGAACCAAGAGTTCCTTGACTTCAGACTCACTTCTTGAATCACCTACCTGTATTTTATTAAAGAAAAGTTTATCCCACAAACTGTCATTTCTAATGATGCCGTTTCGAACTTCAGCCTTTTTCCGTCCTGCCGCAAATTCCAGGATCCAGCGCTTGAGGGTTGTGTCAGCCTGGCTGAAGATCTGCAGGAGCACAGGATGGCAGACAAGGTGTCACAGAGAAGAGAGAGCACGTCAACACCTGTTCTCCCCATGACACCCGCCCAGCCAGGTGGATACAGTTACATTTGCAGCACAGGTAAACAAGGCTACACTGGGGTTTGTTAGTGGGGGATAAAGAAATTTTTTTGCTCCGTTCCCAACTGTACGTGTGGTTCCTTTGGGGGAAAAAAGACAGGATGGTGGTGCAGGCTTTGACTAGATTGACAGGGCTGCTCTTACTATATCATTTCTGTAATAGGGTTCAGTGAAGCTCATGCAACCTGAGCTACAAGGAATGAGCAATATAAACAGGTATCATGGTGGCTGATGTCGTGATGGGGGCTGCATTTACCTGAGCTTAATCAGGCACCAGCAGGAACTCCACCTCAACAAATGAGAAACCCCCAGTGCCTGTCCCTCTAATAAAGCACAGAAGCCTTGACCTTTGGGAAAAATTAAGTCAGTTAAGCTTGTGCTTAAGCTTGTATTTAGAAGATAAGTCTTCTGAGGAATAAATATTCCCAGCTCGTCAAACAGATTTAACATGATGACCAGACATAACTGTCTTAAATACCTTGCAATACTTTTACCTTAGTTTTAAAGATTTCTAAATCCAAAAGCCACTGTCATATTTACACTGCCTAAATCCTCAAAGACTTTTTGAAATTTCTGATTTCCAGCTGTTGTTGCCACCAGAATGAGAGATTTGAGTTTTAAACTTGATTGAAGGGCAAAAGGTCCTTGTGCTGCCAGGTTTGACTGATGTTTCTGTGATGAAAAAATCCTATATCTCTAGAAACGTCAGTGGTAAGCTTAGTGAGAACAGGGTAGGAGGCTAATACAGAGGGATTTCATATTCACACATGATAACTGTGTCTGGAGTCTGTGTAAGTCATAATACAGACTTACACACTGAAGGAGCTGTATCCATTACACAGGGTGAGAATGTGTCTGCACCAAGGCAGAAGTAGTACAATCTCCTTGAGAAACCTCCATGACTAAGGGAATTCTTCCACATGAGTAGTAAAGGGACATAAACTCCACCCTTCCAAAAACAGTAAAATCAAAATCCAGCTCACCTTGTCATACATTCTATTCAACAGCCGTGGCACAACAGGGAAGATGGTTGGCCGCAGTGCCTTCATATCATCAGACAGGAGGCGAATATCTCCTTGGAAGAAGCCTATTCGCCCTCCGTGGCAGTATACTACAGACTAATGGGGAGAAAGAGGAACACATGTAATCCCTTTGCTTTCAATTCCCAAAGCAAAGCATTCCTCCCAAGCGCAGAAGCACATTTTCTGAATTTCTGCTCTCCAATATGGCAAAAATGGGACTTTGGAAATAAAGTAAATAATTTATTTTGGAAATAGAGTAACAACAAATTTTGTACTGAATAGAAATATCCAGACAGTTCTGGACATTTTTCAGTACAATTCAACATCCGCCAAATTTTCCACTTGTTCTGGAAGAACAAGGAATCAAATTTTTCAGGAGGGATTTCCCTTCATCCCCACCATATGGGGATGGAGAAGTCCCAGTTATGGTCAGAGTCTGGATCAGGACTTTCCTAAAGCCCAGCCCTTCCATGGCAGCTCATAGCATGAGGACCTATCATCAATACAGAAATACAAAGTAAGAAACATCATAAAACACAGAGTGGCACCTATTTTTAGATGTTAATACTTTAGTTTTGTTTAAATACAACAATATAAACTACATTAGCCATACAGTGCCTTATCCTGTATCTCAGAAATAGACGCCTACTTCACAAAAGGTGCTTGACTTGTATGGGAACTACAAATCCAGAAACCTTGTACTTGAAAACAAAGCAGGATGTTTTCCTCAGATCAGAATGGAGGTGAATATGTGGGATCGGGCAGAGGGGCTGCCGGCCATGAGCCAACTGGTAGCTGGTTACTACTAACTAGTAACCCTGCCAAGAAGCTATCACAGACTGGGTCAAACTGACATTTTATCACTGAAGAATATTTGAAGACAAGCACTTCTCCCATAGTTTTACAGTGCATGGAAGAGAAAGCGCCTGTGATGCCAGAGCTGAACCCAGCCTCCCTGAGTAGACTGAAAACTTCAGCTCCCTTCTGTGTGCTATTACTAGTCTTCCCCAGATAACTAAATAAGCTGAAAATTCCACGTCTTTTGTGCTGCTCCTAAAAATCTGCAATACTAACCAAATTGCTCTCACTGCTCTGTCAGGCAATTAGAGACTGTCTCCATTAGCTGAAACCACAGGAATTTTGCATATGTGATGTGAGTTTAATGAAAATCACACTGCTGAATCTGTGCTTTACTGCACATGAATTTAAAAAAAGAAAATGTAACTAGTGCGCTCATTAGGAATTGAAAATAACTAGAAATTTTTAGCTTTAATGAACGTGTCTGTATGATTTTAACTGTAAATTCCAGGAATGAATAATGTTGGCTAAAATTAGGGATACTGATGCAGTACTTGCTGTTCAGAATGCTTTTGAAAATTACTTTTTAGCCCCTTTGAAAAAGTCTTTATATTACTAAGTCATTTCAAATGGGAGGATAAACATAGACATCCTTTGAAGGCTTTTCAGGACAGCAACATCCTGTGAAATGAAAGCATTTTCATTGTTTCTCATTTCTTTTTGCGTCCCTTAAGATGAATTTTGAATAAAAATATTCTTGTTTGCCTGAACAGTGCTGGCACACTGACCAACTTGCCATGCAAGTGCAGAAAGGCTGTGTTGTAATTTTCCAAATCTTTCATGGGCTTTTACTTCCAATTTGTAACTGGAGATCTTTAACAGGGAAAAAATATATTGCTTCTGGCACAGATGTTACCAAGGAGTGGGAGATTTATATTCAGATGCTTGTCTGACTCAAAAAGTATGCTGTCAGCCTGAAAAAGGCCTCCCTGAGAAAGTATAGAGCTGCAGCTGGATCCAGATCCAATCTTAACATACTGGATCAAATTCAAGTTTGCAGCTTCTCAGGCTGTGAGACCTGATATGGCTGTCTCACCTGACTTGCCTAACTCACCAATTGCAGCACAAATCATTTTCCCTTTTTTTTTCCCCGAAGAGACATGGAGTCAGTTCTGTGGGCTGGCAAGAGCTAGTGCTTGGGTCTGCCATAATTCCCAGGGGACACAGGCTCCAGTGAATACCCACTACATGCTGCCCTGCCAGGAGGATCATGTGTCTCACACCATGATCTCAGTTTCCTCTTTTTCAGTGTCTGCCAGCTTGGAAGTTATTTTTGCAGATCATGTTATTTATGCAATAAAATAATTTTAGAAGATGTAGAAAATGCCATGAAATTATCTTGACTCACATGACACTTCATCCTAGAGTGCTCTGATAAGATGTCCCACAAATTGCTCAGGTAGCAGTAGCCATGAGATGAATGAGCAATGAGTTTGGCTCATTGCTGAAGGGCTATTTTTCAAATCCTGAAGCAGGTGTAAGCTGGAGAACTTGGGAAAACTCTCCTGGCTCACTCTGGACTCACAGCCATGTCACTGAAACCATGGCTCTGGTGTTATGCATATGGCACTTCTGTAGTACAAGCCTTTTTAGTGCTACAAGATATTGCTGGTTATTTAGTTTTTGTGTTTGTTTGTTTTTTGTTGGCGTGGAAAAAATATTATTTCCACTGACACCATGACCTTACCTGTACCATTCTCTCAAACATGTGTGCTAAAGGCAAATAGGAAATGTGTACATCCTCACAAGTAGGAGACCACTGACTCTGGAAGAAAACACAAGGAGCCCCACAAGGCCTCATCAGTTCAGGCAGGTTTCTTACCTGTATAACTCTTTCAAACATGTGAGCCAGAGGCAGGAAGGAGATGAGCACATCGTCCTGTCTCGGAAAGATCACTTTCTGCAGGTGAAGGGCATGGGAGACAGAAAGGAAAGAAACACTGACAGGAAGACAACAAGAAAGTCATAAAATAATAAAAAGAAAAATAGCACCAGAGGAGCAAAAGGGTAAAGATTGTCAAGAGAGGAGGGAGCGGCGGACACAGGGAAGCATTAAAGCTACAGCATCATGGAGCTCAGTTAGCAGGAGGAGTGAAGAGCATGAAGATGTACACACAGGGCAATAGAGAGGGCTCTCCTTGGCAGAAGGCAGATTGTTTCCACGCAGCTCACGCTGGGAATGGAGGCTCACCCTGATGGAGAATCCAATTTTTATTCACTGCTTTCTATCAGGAGGTGCCAAGACCCTGATCTTTGCTCTCAACAGACAGCAGGACAGTCTGCTGTGTGCAGACAGGAGGATCCTGGTGCAAACCTGCAGGAACCCCCAGGATCCCAGTGTTAACCTGCAGGAGCCTCCTGGACACGAGCAGGGCTCTGCAGGAGCAGCACTTTTCCACTTTGCATAGAGTCCTTTCAAGAATCACAGTGTTACTAGTCAAAATTAGTGATTTTTTTTTCTTCTCCTTTGGTTAATCATTGATTTTAATCAGATTGTGTTGGAAAACTCATTATTTAATCTTAGGCTTCAAAAAGTAATTACTTCTGTTAGTGTTTCTCATTATTTTAAGTGATTAAAATATAATTTTAAGGGCAGTATGACTGTCCCACAGACAAGGGAAAGAGAAGGTTGGACAATTTTTTTTTTTTTAAGTGGCCAAATTCTTGATTTTGCCAAGATTTTAACTCTCTCTTGAAGGCTGGAATAAACAAGAGCCTTACCTAACCCATCCCCCAAATAACCTTTCTACCTGCATTTTCTAGGGTACAGCTTGCTATAATATTATGGATTAGAAAAACTGAAAGGTTGACTACCCAATAATTTGCATCAAGGCCAGTGGTTAGTGGAAAATGGGTATAAAAATATATCAGCTCACAGTATTAACAATTTATACCCACTTGCACCTCCACTGCTCAGAGGGAATCAATAGCCCATGACCTGGAGGCAGACAGAGGAGTTCATCCCTCAGGGTATCTTATTGAAGTTTAAACCTGGGCTGGTCAGATTTGGGTATGGCCTCCCAGTCATCACCTACCAAAGTCAAACATCATTGACCATGTGGGTGTTCTCAGCATCCCATTTCATATTATTGTGTCTCTCAGTCTGAATGAAGCCATTAGGGCCTGCAGATCTATTTATACATTATTCTAATTTGGCTTCATTTTCTGCAAGCACAGTAATGCAAAACCTTTAATATCAACCAGAGGGTTTTTTTATTGCTACTGTAAGGGCCCAGACAAAATAATCTGGTTTTAAATCAGACCAAAATTATGCCATTGAATAGCATCTCACAGTTGGCACAGTTGTCCAGTTAAATGTAAAAATGCAAACAGCTTCTTGGTACTTGAGAACAACCTTATAATAGAGCTCTGGACTCACTTAAAAATATGTTTGGTTTGTAAAAATCACTGAACTAAGCAAAACTGCGACAAGAACTTGTAAACAACAAACCCACAGAACTTCTCATTTTATTTCTTTAATTTATACTACTTTCAAGTGTTTAACACTGCTCTATTTCATTACTGTGGTCAGACATTACCCAAATCTTGTGGATTAGCTACGGGCATTTACCCTTTGTCAGCAATACTCTGGTGACTGGAGATATCAAATTTACAATCACACTAGATTTGGGTCTCAATCTGATACCTTTGAGATTAATCAGGGTCTCACTGCTGTCTGCAAACACTAAATCCATTTTTATGGACCAGTCCTGGAAGATGCCAAGTTCCCTCAGCTCTAAATTAGTGCTCTTCCAAAATAAACATTCCTTCCCTTTGAAGCTCAGGCCTCTTCACTCCTTAGCTTTCATTTGTCCCTCTTGCTGCCACCAAAACCACAGATTGCTCCATGCTGAGGAGCTCTCATTGCAGCACTGGCATTTCATCCTGCATACTGTGGAGGCACAGCCCTGCAAACATTGGAACATGTGAATTCAGTTGGATTTCTTTACACCAGTGGTCCGGAAATCTCAGAAAATTCAAGGATTAAAGTAATAAGATGGCAGTAATTTCAACATCAACAATAAGACCAGGTATGAGGTAACCAATTGTCCATCCTATGTGCATGTAACTACTTTATAGAATTGCCTGTTCACTACCAGAAATCAGATTATTTATATTTGTTCCATATAAAGTGTATAAAATACTATGTCATGGTAAACTGATTCTGCTTCCTATATTGTTTCTAAACATGAGTTGCATGTCGTGTGAAACACATTATAAAGGCACTTGGCCAGCATTATGCTATGGTCTATTAGACATATGTATAACAAAAACTGAGATATACTGGAATATCAATTAAATTAACCATTAACCATTCTTGTAAAACAATCATGTATGTTCTTATATATATATATATATATATATTTATATACACACACACACTTTGTATGCAGAGAGGTTTCAAATAAATGACAACATTTTTGGGCACAATGGGACACAAAGAGCACAAGAGGAGCTTGAACTCCTCTTCAAGCACCAGTCTCAACTGTATAGGGCTTGTGTGCTCTCCTAATTCTTCCAAAAGAGTTAATTAATTGATTTACAAAAGTCAGCATTGTTTCTCAAAAGCCCTAAGTGCCCTACAGAGCCTGGGAACCAGGGCTGGAAAGAGGATTTAATGCCCTCCAGTACTGTAGATACAGCCTTGCTCCATTGCCATGGATTTGGCCCTGTAAGCAGGAAAAATGTAATCTTTTATCTGCAAGAGCATACTTCCAGCCCGTGCAGGGCCACAGCTTAACCCACATGCTCTGCACATGGCAGTGTTTTCTAGCTCAGGGTAATCACCTCCGTCACTTTCAAAAAGCCTGAAAAATCCGCCACCACATTTCCATGGGTCAGCATAGCACCTTTGGGATTTCCTGAAAGCAAACAGAGAAGGAGTTTAAAAGATAAGCCAGAAGGTAACTTTCAAAAACTTAACAAAAAAAACCCCAAGATATGATTAAAATATTATGTTAACTTCTTCAATTTTAAAACATACGTAATTTTCACTATCATTACCATGCACTGACATGCACCAAAAACACTTACTGCAATACTCAAAACTTAATGAAATGATACTGCAAACAGAAATATTTCTCTTGGAGATTCTGGAAAACAGGTTCCAGCAGAAACAGCCCAATGGCAATTTCTGAGAGTGCTTAGATGGAGCCACTCAATGAGCACAGCCATGAAGCTTGGCTGGCTGTTCTAGCTTCTCCTAGGACGATTTATTTCATCCAGATTTTGACTAAGAATGATCTTGAACACCGAGAATCACTGTTTAAAAGGCTGTTTTACTTAGCCAGTGCTCCGGATAACATGAGAAATGCAGAGAGCAGTGAAGGTAAAAATTAGGGTACAAGAACACCCTTTGAGACTACAATTAAGGGAAGTCATGATTAGTATCAGCAGCAGAGGCATCTTGAAGATAGCCCTAAATCATTAGGGAGGCAGCAAAGCCCCTGTGTTGTGTTCCAGAACTGAGCACTGCCCCTGCAGCATTTCATCCACCACCAGCAGGCACCTCAGCACCATCAATATATGCCTTTTCACACTCCTTTCTCAGCTGACCATAGTGCACCTCTTGCATTTCATATCTGCTTGGACGCCAATACACAGCGTCTGTTAAGCAGAAAATACACAGGCTGGAACTTCCATGTTCACAAAAAAGTGGCACGGAGGGCTCTGCATATCCTCCTGTCACAGGACTGTCCCTTTTCATCACCATTCTAGGTTTTAGTTGTGAAAAGAAGGTGTAGCTCAGCTCAAATAAAGATGGGGCCAGCCTTTTTCTCTCCATCATGTTTTTAAGCAGATTGTTTTCATTCGACCACACCACTGCTACATAGTTTCTGCCTCTCCGTGCAAACGCAGACCAGAGGAGCTTTACCTGCAGGTGCCCCATGTGTCCCCAGTACAGTGGGCACGAGCAGCCTGGCAAAGCTCCTGCAGTTAATGTAACAAAACCATTCTGCCTTCCTCAGATGAGGAAGAGACTGTAATGCTTTGTGAATATGTTTCAGCACAGGAAAGTATGTTTAATCCTCTCAGAACAGTTTGAGAGCTGTGTTGCTAGCAGCCCTCCAGTGTGGGCATGGGCACAGACATGGGCACACTCAGCACTGAGCCCTTTGCCCTGCCAGCACCACCACCATCACTCCTACTCAACCTCACAAATAATTAAAGGCAGGCATAAACAGCCATAGCAATTGTTGCATACATTTATTGCAATAGAGCAGGATATTTTAAACACAATATATTATATGGAAAATCCCTATTTGCTGTTCCAAGTGCCTTGAGTAATTCAGTCCCAAACACTTGCAGATGAACATGGTGCACAGGAGGTTGGTTTGGTTTCATCCAAAGCTCAAGAGTGAAGCTGACAGCTTTGCCAGCCTCAGCTGCTCCCGTCCTGAGGTGTTGAACTAGCAGGTTCACAGGTGCCAAATCAGCCTGGCAGGTTATTTTCACAGCTGGGTGCACACATGGATCCAGGCTCCAAGAAAAGTCCATGAACTTTTTGTCAGTCGTACATACCGACCACGACTCAAAAATCACTTGTGTTATTGAATTGTGTCCAGCCAAACACATGTGCTCCGCCCCTGCATTTCTAGAAGCAGCTGTGCTCCTGCAGCATCACACAGCTCAGGGCACCAGTGGAGAGGATGTGCTCAGTACTGGTTTGAAAATTCCAAACTGTGCCCTCTAGCACACATGTGGTCCCTGCACCTTGACAAAATTCTTCAGACTTTTTTTTGAGGATTTCAAGTGTTCAGTGCCAGGCTGAGTGGGGCTTGGAGCAAACCAGTATAGGTCAAAGTGTCCCTTGCTATGGCTGGGAATTGGAATTAGATATACTTTAAAGGTCTCTTCCATGCCAAAGTACTCCATGATTCTATGAGATTTCTCAGATGTTTGACTCACTTACTCACTCCACCTCTGACTTGAATGCAAATTCAGTATCTCTGCCATGCCTGGAAGCAGTGTTAACATCCTGATTCCTTCCTCTGCATCCCTCTTGCACATGCTCAGCATCCTGGACAGGCTGCAATGATAATGGTGTCTAAACAGGACAGCAGTGTTGGAGCCAGGAGAGCCTCCATCAGGAGAAATCCAGAACAAATCATGCTGCTATGGGACAGCTGCAGCTTTTTTGGGCTGGGGGACTCCTGTAAATTTGGACCTTCCTTAGTAGTTCCAAGAGTTAACCTAGCAAAATTGGTGCCTCTTCTATGAGCCCTTTCCCAGAATTACCACTTTGAGAGAAGAAGGTTGGCACGGATGCTACTTTTCTATTTAAAAAATCAATGCCATTTCTGTAATGCTGTTCTTGTTTGAATTTCCTGACAAAGACAAACCCAGTGAGTGTCCTGATACAGAATGGATACCTTGCAATCCATTAATAGCCCAGGAATGTCAATTCCTCCTTATCTTGGTGCCAGGCTTGTTTGACAGTTCTTATAAGCAATAGTAGAACCTTTAAAATAACAGAAGAACATTTTCCACATTGCCAAATGGGTCTTTCAAGTGCTCCAGCACTAATCTCACAGCATAATCCATCAGCATTCTGGAATGCAAGCACTTTCCTCCCCTGGGGAGTTCTGGAAAAAAGGAGCATGCACTGCCAGGCTGGGAGAAACCACTGGGAAGCAACTTTTATCCACCTCGTTAACAGTGAATCCTTGAGAGAATGACAGTTGATTTCTCTGGAGTAGCCAACATGAAAAATTGTATCCTGACAGTTTGGGGATATCAATGTGCCTTTGGCCGATTTCCAAGTGCTGATGGCTTCTTGGCATAACCATGGAAGTTGGTCTTGTCATCCAAGATCAGCAATCTCTGCGTCTCTTTTCTCCCTGGAGAGGCATTGGGACATCCGGTCCTATCAAAGAAAAGCAAGTGTTAAAGTCTACTCCTGGGGAATTCTTTGTAATTCTACAATTTTCAGGTGACAAATTCTACAGCAGAGATTTTTTTCACACCACACAAAAATATTTACAGCCCTCTGGAATTGGAAAAGCCCTAGAGAATATATAGTTTGGAAGAAAATTCTAAATTTAGCCACTAAAAATCATATGAACTATATAAAACTCTTACATCAAAGCACAATGTAGAAAACAGACCAGAGTGTTTATGCAACCTCTGGAAAAGAGTGATGTGAAAAGTCCTCCAGCAGCAGAGGATGGGCTCATGCATCACAAAGTGTTGTTATGAGAAGGTTCAGTTTGAGATGATTTGCAAAACTGGAAATGTCTGGTTTGGATGGGAGAAGGGAAATTAACTTCCCGGTTGTCCTATTTCTGTAACTCTGGGCATGTTTCTAAGAAAAGCACAAAATCAGAAACTGGCCCATGATTGCATCTGCAAATTAAAAAAAAAGAAATCAAAGGAAACCTCTATGCAGAATTGTTTATTTAGAAATTAAAATATCAACAATAATGTGACTTGAAAAAATAGTTACTCTGCAATTGAACATCCACATAAACACCCTGCTGTATCCACGACATGACTCCTTCAGTTTCCTACTGCTCCCATTTGTGCCTGGCCACTTTGTACTCACTCTCTACATGGCTGTGATGTTCACATCCAGCACTGAATTAATTCTTTCCCATTTAGGAATTCCCAGTGTTGGAACAAAGCAGAGTCACAGTTCTTACCCTCAGTGGGCAGCCTGAAATGCTGATCTCAAAACTAAGGACCATGGACAAAGGTAAAATACCCAAACCCTTTTAATATGTCTTGAGCTTGTACTTGGAGTTGCCTACCTGGTCTGAAGCACAAGTCCTTTCTGGGAGGTGGAGGATGAAGGTGTTCCCTCTTGTTCAGCCTGACCCACCATCTGAGAAGCACCAGCAGGTCCCAGCATTTTCTGCTGAGACCAAACTGAGGATGCTTTGACGTATGACCAAGAGCACAGGTGGATCTGGAAGAGCTGCTCCAGTAGTCCCTGGAGCATGATCTTTCTCTGCAGGAAAGTGTAAAAGCAGTTTCCCAAGCAGTGATGCCTTGTGCATCTGCCCACACAGCTTTCAGGGAGATGTTACAGAGGCTAAGTTCTCAAGAGTAGGAAATTCTTGCAATCTGATGAAGACCAGGGTCTGGAGAGAGGAGAAAGCACTGCCTGTGCTAAGAACAGGCAGGGAAATGATGCTGCTCCTCTCTCCAAGAAAAAAAGGCCGGCAGCACACAAGTACCAGCATCATGGGCTGCCCAGACTCATCCTGAACCTCCACAGCACTTGGTGTCATAAGCAACACACAGGAAGAGGAGACAGAGGTGGCAAGGACCTTGGTGAGGCTGGAGACGTCAATGTGCTTAGAATACAGACAATGGAAGGCTGTGGAACCACATTTTAGGGTTTTGGGGTTTTTTCAAAAAACATTTGCAAAAGATAAATACCAATCAACTAAATGCTTCACAACTACACAGCAAAATGATAAGCAGACACATGGGTGGATTTTTAGACAACTGGAAAATCATACTGGCAAAGTGTATGTCAGAGAATTCAATTGAAAAATAAATATTTTGTTATTTTTAATTTGCAATCTACAGAAGTATGTAAACCTATATATTCTTAAATATTAAAAATGCCTAGAAATATAATTTTCATATCAGTATAACAGCAAGTTTGCATGTATTGAGGTGGGATTAATAATTAATTTCATACGATATTCTAATATTTTAAGATTAAAATGCCTCTTTTACCTGTAGTGCCACTAGTAAAACAGACAATTGAAAGATCTTCTGGTCGAGGAGGCTAGAAATACAAAAGGAGATTAAGAAAATCACATCAGTCAAATGCAGACATTTCAGTGGTAGAGACTGTTGACATTGTAGAAACCTAAGAATCAAACCAATTATGTTTTTGCTCTGACATAAAAGGCTTTAATTCCCGTCAGCATATATAACCAGGTTTCTTCAGTTGATGCAGACTCTATTCCTCCCTTTATGCTGTGCTCCAGCTGCACAAAGGGCATGCTTTACTGTTTGTCTTACAGTTAGTATTTTCCAAGCTACCATCTATATCTGTAGACGTGTGGGATAACTTGAGATAAGTCCTCAATTTCCAGATTAATTCTGGAAAGAACTCCACAACAGGGGCCAAGATTCCAAAGCTGCTGATTGTTCCAATTTCCAGCAGCATTTCTGTATTCTCAACACCACCCCATATGTGCACTATTTTGGGTCATGAATGACTAAATAAACAGTTTGAATATCAGAAGCTGCTTTTGAGTGTACAAATATGAGCAGCCAGTGAAAAATACCAAAGCAATTTTTCCAAAATATGCCATATAAATACTGCCAAGTAGTGTTTCTGAACTATAGGAGCCCCAGCAGAAAGTGAAGGGTACAGAGACATTCCCCCAGTGCCACCAGGGTAAGGTAGTGGAATTAGGGCAGCTTAACAATGGCATTTAATTACTGTCCCATTAATATGTTCATAGCAGGATGAGCTATCTCAATTAAGTGTTCCAGGTAGAGGGAATAAAGCAAATACTGCACATCGTTCCCTATGGGGGTGGTGAAGCCCTGGCTCAGGTTGCCCAGAGAAGCTGTGGCTGTCCCATCCCTGAAAATGTTCAAGGCCAGATTGGACAGGACTTGGAGCAACTAAGCACTCATTGAAGGTGCCCCTGCCCATGACAGAACAAGATGAGCTTTAAGGTCCCTTCTGCTGCAGTTATAAGTGGAAAAAGCAACATGCCAATACTCACCACAGGCATATGTCGGCTCTCACGGCCACAGTTCTGGAAGAGATTAAAGTAACAAAAGTGATTTCCACTTTAATTCCTGCAGTGTAACCCACTTGCTAATAATTCGCAAACCACTAAGGGAGAGCAAGCTAAAGCAGACCAATTCCTAGCTGGCACTGTGGCCATTTTCCTTATCCTGAGTTTCTTGCCCTAACTGCAGTGCCTTCCTTGGATTTCAAGTAGTGTTTGGGTTGGTTGAGCTGCATTCAAGGTGTTTTAAACAAGTGCAAGGCTGTAGGATTACATGTAGTGTGTGGGTGGGTTTGTAGCTACACAGACTCCCCAGGGAGGTGCAAAGGAGAGCTGCTTTATTGCAAAAACCAGGCCCTTTTAAGCAGTTAGCCCATCAGCAGTTATATAGTTTTAAAGAATAACAAACATAATTCAACCAACCACGATACACCACGATGTGATCAGGCAACAGTTATATAACTTGTTTTCCTACCTCTAATTCTAATTCAGCTGAGTCTCTTTCCAGCAGTCCTTTTCTACTTAGCCAAAGTAACAGGTCTGAGCCTTGATTTTACAAGGCCTTCCTTTTGTAAAGTTTTACTTATCAGTAACATTGTAAGAGGACACTGTCTCAAATAACACCCCCTTCCCCTGTTTAAATAGCAGTTGATAGTGTATTTGAGGATAAAGAATTGAAACATTGGTTCTGCTATCAACAAGGAGTAACACCAAGAGACAAGTGCACCAAGCTTCAGTATTATCAGCAACAAGCTGCTCTTTTACGCTCTCCAGACACGGAACTTGGCACGAAATTCAGAAGGCCATGTACATTGTACTGTCTTCTTACACATATTACAAAACAGTAAAAGGAGGGGGAGAACGAACTCACCTCCACCTCCTGCATGGTCTGGATGCAAACCCCACAGCACTTCCCTCTCTCTGTCAACTCCTTCTCAAATGGGTCCATTAGGATGATATATCTCAGGCCTGGTGTTTCTCTCCTCTCCACATGGTCAAGGAGTATCCTGGCTTTTTCAGGCTTGTCACAAATGACTGTGGAAATATCAGCTGCAAGAAAAACAGCCAAACAAGCTGTGTGCAGTAAATCTTTTCAATGCAAGACTGGCTCATAGCTAACACTATATCAGTTCTGATAGTCACTCTAGGCGACTCCAGAAATCCCAGCATTCACATGCTTCTCTTGAAAAATGAGGAAAAAATGTTATCTTAGCTACCCAAAATCAATGCCAAAGCTGTAGCTGACATTTATGATTATTCTGGGATTCAGTTCAAAATACTGAAATTGGTCCCCACGTGGATTAAAAAATCTAGGAGGCAAAATATCAAGCAACACAGGAGTGGGTGGCCATGGAGTAATTACCACATCCAGAGTAGCTCTTATCCATGCACAACTAGGCATGTAGAAAATGCAACAGAGGCAGCACTAGGATACATGGCTCCTTAGGAACCTCTCTAAGTGAATTCAAGACACTCAACAAGTATGATCACAATGCCCCATCCCTGGAAGTGTTCATGGCCAGACTGGATAAGGCAACCTGGTGTAGTGAAATGTGTCCTTGCCAAATGAAGAGGAGTTAGAACCAAATTAACTTTAAGGTCCCTTCAAACCCAAACCATTCTAGGATTCTATGATCATTTGTCTTTTAGAAGCAGAAAATGAACCATTCTGAGCAACAAAACTGAGAAGATCGCATCAGTTTTGATTTTACCTGTGTTGACAATGTACTGAATGGCTCCAGGACCTAAGGTGTCATACAGGGGAACCACCACCATGGAATAGGTGTAGCAAGCCAGCTCAGAGATGATCCACTGCAGGAGAACATGGAAGCACAAAGGTGAGAAGGGTCCATGAGTGTAGATATAACTTGAGAACAAGCTGACAGGTCAGGAACACTATTAATACCATATCAAGTTGGACATAAAATCTCACCTCTGGACGGTTTTGAGCGAAGACACCAATGAACTGCTTTGTGGATGGCTTGCAGCCCTGCTGCAAAAGGCCTGAACCCAGAGCTTCTGCTCTTTCAGCCACCTGGAATTTGGGGAGGAAAAAAATACATTAAAAAGTAGAGGAATATAAACAATTAAGCAAATACTTACAGGGAGGCTCTCAAATTATTGTATTTCCTATCTAAAATTCCAATTTTTATGTTATCATGAACCATCATTAGCTGACTAGCAGTTGATGAGGTCGGTGATGCCCCATAGTGCCTCAGTGCTGCTTTCAAGAGCGGGCTCACAGCATGGAGCCAGCCCCTGAAAGCTAACACACCCATATAACACCTGGATGTGCCTGGGTGGGTACACCAGGAAGCATCACACAATGCATGAACAACCTCCTGGCCTAACGTGCAGACACCCCAATGCCCCTTCTTGGGTTGCGCAAGGGAAGAGGATGCACAGTGAGTGTCACCTCGAGCTCACCTCCTTGTAGGACAGCCATTGGTAGGGCTGCTTGGGCTTCCTGAATCCGAGGCAGGGGCCATTCTCTGAAAGACACAAACAGTGCATGACCAGATGAAAATTTGAAAAGTTTGAATTATTTGCTAATGGTACCTATTTGCAGAAATCCATTTCTCCATACACCTACTGAGTCCTTCATTTACCCCTGTCTTGTGGGGCAGAATATGTGCAGGGTTAAAACATGAAAAACTGGTTTTTTTTATGGCACCAAAAATAATAATCTGATCATGACATTGTTGTATCCAATAAGGCAGGACACCATAAACAGCAGACACAGAAATAATTATGATAGAGCAGGGAAGAGTCATCATGGCTTTTTAGAGTGGGATGTGATGTCTCTCAAGCGTGTGAGAGCTCTGTGACCGTACCATTGAACATGGGGTAAGAACACATGCATAGCCTGGTCCCCACCTCTCCCAACTTCTGCTCTGAGGCCTCCTCCCCACTGTGCTCTCACCGGAGATGCTGAATCCCCTCCTGAAGACCTCGTACATGGTCCTGGCATCATCATAGTAGTGCGTCAGCAAGTGTGGGCTGTCCCCAATCACTGAGCGGCGCGCCCCAGCCAGGCCCTGTGTGAGATGAGGTGACACAAGATGACACAGACATCAGCACTGCTCAAGGGGTGGGAGATGAGGAAACCCCCACTGTAAAGCAATACGCCCCCCAAATGCCAAGCAAGACCTCTGTGACCACCACCTGCCCCAAGACCCAAAGGGATGTGAGAGGGGGGACATTGACCTCAGCACCTCAAGGATATGGAGAGCACTCTGGTCATAGAGGAGCACTTGACCAGCTCATTATCACTGAGATCATTGATATTTCCCTAGGGAATTTAATAAGGAATTATGGATCTGGAAGTAATGGAGTGGGGATGTGCGGGGTAATGCAAGTGCTCTGGGCTCCATAGGTCTTTAGGACTATCACCATGAGCACCTCCACAAGGACACCTAGGCCAACATGAAGGACAGACTAAGGCAGAGGCCAGCCCCCAGTGCCATGAGCTTGACAGAGTTGTTTTAGGAGTGGGCAACCAGAACGAGAATGACCAAACCAGGACTGCACTGGGAGCCAGAAAAAAGTCTAACTAAAGCCCTAACCATAGGGAAAAAATAGCTTGAAAAATGTAAATTCCTCCCATTCTTTAAAAAAGTTGGAATTAAAGACAATGACGTCTTGGAGAGAACATCAGAAAAGGCTTTAAAAATTATCATCCCATTTTCAGATATTAAAATAAGTTGAGACAATACTCAGAAATATTTCTGTTCTTTAAAACAGAGCTGTATCATTAAAACCTTTTGCAAGCATAACAATTAGTAACTCCTCAGCCTCTAAGTATGGATTCAGGTTTACTTTTTCTTACTATTACCAAGTTTGCAGCACCAAACTCAGCAATGGGCACACATGAAGAACACCAGGTGATCTGGTCTCAACAGCTGTTGCCTTTCAGTTGTTTCTCCCATGCAATGGCAGTGCCTCTAATTTTTGGCCATGGAGGGTTAAGCAGAGCTAAGACCAAAATTTTACTGAAAATCTAAGAGAATAACATGCTGTATTCTAGTTTTTTCGTTTACAGAAAAAGGTGAATTAAGGGGTGAAGTGACCCCTGGCACAGTGCATTACATGGTTGATTTCAGGATGAGGTTGGGGAACTACCGAAACAGCAACAAAAAAGCCTTCCTGGCATTCCCTGTGAACACAGATCAGTAGAAACAAGTCCAGGGGAGGCCATGAAGGTGATTAGAGGGATGGGACACCTATCCTATGAGGAAATGCTGAGAGAGTTGGGGTTGCTCAGCCCGAAGAAGAGAAGGCTCCAGGGAGACCTTAATGAAGGGGACCTACAAGAGAGCTGGAAAGGGACTATTTACAAGGGCACATAGTGACAGAACAAGATGTTGTGGCTTCACGCTGAAATAAAGTAGGTTTAAATTAAATGTTAGGAAGAAAGTCTCCCCTGCGGGGGTGATGGGGCCCTGGCACAGGTTGCCCAGAGAAGTTGTGGCTACCCCATCCCTGCAAGTGTTAAAGGCCCGGCTGGATGGTGTGGTTACTGCACTGCAAAAAGAGAGAAAAGACAGCAACACACACGGACCTCTTTTGGGGAAAAAAGGCCAACTTTATTGTACGAACAATCCGTATTTAAAGTTTGTTACGTGCAGCTAGGACAGGACAGTAGTTCATTGGACAATTGGGAAAAACATCCTTGGGACAGTACCTCAGGATGTATCCCACGGGAAAGTCACCAGGTGTTAATCTTTATTATGAATTCCACTCTGTTTTTCACCATATTATCACCCTGGGAGATTTCCTCCCTAACTGAAGCTGTAGTCAGCTTGTCAGCCTGGGAATGGACCTGAGAGGCAGGAGAAATCCAGGCCTGAAAAGAATTTCCAAGCTGTAATTCCCTAGCTCTCTAAATGTGTGTGTCCACAGGATGGGGCTTGGAGCAGCCTGGTCTAGTGCCCATGGCAGGAGGTTGGAATGAGATGATCTTTAAGTTCCCTCACAATCCAAACCATTCTATGACTTTCAGGCATGCAAATCTTGGGGAAAGCCAGCCGGGGTTGCCCTGGCCTCACCTCGACTTCTTCCGACTGCATGCGCAGGTCGCAGGGTGGCTTCACGGCCCTAGGCCGGCTGGCAAACCAGTAGGCAACAACAGCCGCAAAGGCACCAATGCCCACCAGTGCTGTGGCCGGCAGGTTGCGGAAGAACTGGCTGAGGTCATCAAACTCAGGGAGCCGCAGACTCCGCAGGATTTCCTGAGCCTGCATCTTCTCCACCAGCAAAACAGCAAACTCTGCAAGAGCCAGAAGGATGGGTCAGGTCAGGTCAGGTCAGGTCAGGCTGCGGATGGGCAGAGGCAGCACAGGTCTCTGGGAAGAGGAGAACATGCTTTGCCTCATCAGCCATCGCAGGCACCCTGCTCTGCTGAGCTGTGTGGCTGTCTGGGGCTGCCTGCCGATAACCACCCTAACTGAGAAAAACAACATCTATGGAAGAGGTAGAAGAAAAGAGGAATCATCTGTAGCAGGGTAAGTAGGAGCAGACTGCTCACTCCCTAAGGACAACTGAGGACCAATGTACAGGAGGTGATGCGGCTGCAGTTACCTGGAGTGAGAGATGCTAGGACAAGTTCTGGGACCCAGCTATGACCCCTCAGGGCTGCCAGAAACTGTCTCTGCCTTCCCTGAGCAGGACTGCACAGACAGTAGTATTGGGCTCAAAGAGTGGGAGCTGCTCCTGGGAAGGGCAAGGTCACGCTGTGGATCGGGTATCGATCTAGACTCTGCCACAGCAGGTTGCCTTGCTTTTCCCTTTTGCACATATAGAAACAGACATCAGAGAGGAGTCAGGCAGGTGGCTCACTGAGTGAGAGGTCAAACTGTCCTCAGGGGACTCATGTTTGGGTGTTGAGTACACAAGGAACATTTTAAGTAACTCCCGTTTACAGTGACAGCCTGTATCAACTCCTCACTGGGAGATCTCCAGTATCAGCCAGCCTTCTGAGGGATGAGCCAAGCAGGTGCTGCCCAGGGGGAATCCAAACAGTTAAGCTTTCCTATAGCTCTATTTATGACTTTACAAGAGTCAAGGTCTTAAAAAAGTTTTCCAACCACATGAGCCCAGGCATCCCCTTCCCTCTTGCCCTCTGGCCTTGCTCCAGCTTGTGGAAGTACATGGCTTCACTTCCACGAAGGGGCCAGGACTTCCCACATGACAGCACCACTAACACAAACCTGCTTTTTTCCTCCTGGCTGCACTGTCCTGAAGTCCTGAGGGTCAGGACTATCCTCCAGTAGCCTTCTCCTGTGTTTGTTCCAAGTGAGTATTGGGGCTGGCACAGGCCAGGTGGTGAACAACTGGGCACGCCTTGCACAAGGCTCTGGAGAAGGTTTGTAAGTTTGCACAAGAAAAAAATGCAACATAACAAACAATTAACCCCACTCACTTTTGGATTATACAATGGTGAGGGCAGCAGCAAGGATACAGCGACACAGAGCCCATGTTCAGGGTCATCCATCTCCCCCTGAGAGCTCTGGCCCGCCCAAACATCCCTCTTGCCTCATGCTGCTCCTTGATGCTGGCCCAACATCCCACAGTCACCTCTGCTCCCAGAGAGCTCCCAACTGTGCATACCCTCTAGGACCACAACCAGCCTCTTCAGGAATAGTTGAACCCCTCCAATAATCACATCCAGATGTGATCCATCCACATGCTACTGGGAAATGCCCACACAGGAGGCAATTTTCTCCTCAGATTTGAGCATCTTTTCAGAAATCTCCACATGCGATAAAATACTGACTATGTGACTGCAATGATGTTAGGATGAACTGTGAGGGTGGTGAGGCACTGGCACAGCTTGCCCAGAGAAGCTGTGGATGCCCCATCCCTGGAAGTGTACAAGGACAGGCTGGATGGAGCTTGGAGGAACCTGGTATAATGGAAAGAGTCCCTGGTCATGGCAGGGCAGTTGGAACTGGATGAGCTTTAGGGTCCCTTTCAAACCAAACCATTCTGGGATAAAATGATTCTATGAACTGAGAAAGAGTACTGATTTCTCCCCTCAGTATTTCTCAACACCAGGCTATGAAAAGCACCCTGACAAACATACTACAAAAACTGGGAGAGCTTAGCAAGGGAGCTATTAATTTACTGATGAATTGCCCATTTGTGCAAAAGCATTTCAGCAAGTCCCAATTAAGACTGTCTGCTCCCAGAAACAGCCTGTCCTGCCAAAAGCAACCACCCAGTTTGCTGGTTACACTGAAATCCTGGGAATTACTCCCTCAAGAGCAGCCTGTAAGTGCTGTTTTGTATCCATCCATGCAGTTAAGTTGAAAGTGGAAAGCCCGTGGGAACAGCACTGCCATGGGGGGATGCTTGGCTACAGCCATATGCTTCTGTCCTGCTTCTGCCCTGCTCAGCTGCAGGAATTGCCTAGGTGGAAGCAAGACCAGTCCTGCTTCTGCCCTGCTCAGCTGCAGGAATTGCCTAGGTGGAAGCAAGACCAGACTTTTACATCTGTCTGGGTTGAGGGCATTCACAGACATCTAGAGCTCATAGCATCAACAGAAGGATCATGACAGTCAGGGCTGCAATTTCTGTTCACATTAAAGTTTGGCACTGCAGGGTTCGCACAAGCTGCCTTTTGCAATAGTTATTCCTAAGTTTTGCATGCTGAAGTGATTCATGATGAGTTCATACTTGATCTGCTCAGAGCAGCCAACCTGCTGTGGGATGGTGCCCAGGAAAGGGGCCCATGTGTGTTTGGGATGATCAGAGAGAACTCTGACCCCCTCTCTAAACCTACAGAAAGAAGGGCCAGGGCTGCCTGGATCACAGCCTCTGATGAGTCAAGACAAGCAGGTGAGCGCCTCATGGTCACATGTTCTGGGAGTGTATTTCTCATGTGATCAGGAAAATAAATAATAGTAATTTAAACCCAGCAGATTTGGGTTGGGCTACTCGTCAGCAAGGCAGCGTTGAACTCTAGAGTGCATAGCAAGCAGCTGCTGCTGTCACCAGAGGCCTAGGATCAGCAGCAGAATGCTCTCTGCACCCTTCTCTACAGTTCTGTTACGTTTGTGCCCCATTTCTGCTACCTCTTGGCCCCATTTGTGTTGCCCAAAGTGGATATACCAGCCTGCTGCAGTTCATGTTCCCCACAAGCAAGCAGCCCTAGGTGCCAGCTAGCAGAGCACGGCACCCATGCACGCAGTACATGGAAACACTGGCATTTCCATTTATTCCAAATGGCATTTCACATCACCAGATTTATAAAATATTCCCATGGCAAAGAAAAGAGGAACAAATATGCAAGGAAGGACAGAAAAAAAGTGGTGGGTAGGTAGGTAGGAAGGCAGGCAGGCAGGCAGAAAGGGCCCAGAGAGAACAGCCATGAGTAAGAGTTGCAGGTGCCTGGCACAGGGGAACTTCCCAGCCTGGGTCCAGGCTGAGCAGGGGTGCTGCAGTCTTGGGGCAGCCAGCAGGGACACTGAGCTCCAGGTCACCGGCCAGCCTGTGGTCACAGCAATCACACCCAGAACAGGGCTTACTTATTTCTTTTGGTAACAAACGGCTCTCTTGTACCATTTAGTTTTCATATTTTTCTGCTGGAAGTGATTCTGTAACTCCAGTCAATGGAGTTCAGTGACATTAGCCAGCTTGGGAACAGCCTCAGACTACTGAGCAATTTAAATTTTACTGATCCTTTGCGGCCACGCAATCACATCCCTTCTACCAATTCCATCAGTGCCTGCTTGGGAAGAACAACCCCTGTTGGGGCATTTGCATCCTCCTGCTCCCCTGCATTCACAGTGGGATGAAGAAGAGGCAGTGATTTATTTTATCCTGGAAAGTGGGCAAAGCATCCCATCACCATCCTTTTATTCAAGTCCCAAAAAGGGCTATTTACATTAGACTTAATAGCACAAAACTAAACCCAAATAAGCAGCTTTTCAGTATGTCTGAGAGAATTAACTGTTTGCAGTGGAGAACTACAAAGCAGAATCAGTGATATGCAATGGCTCAGAGCCTGCACACCCTCCACTTCTCTCAGAGCAAGCTGGAATATCCCGTCAGTCAGCAGTCACCATGGATCCCTGTCCTTGGCTACGGCACTGGCTGCTCACTCATTTCACTGAGGAAACAGAATTTACAGGATCTAAAACATCTCAGTCTGGACAGGCAGATTTAGAGGGATTTCACTCCAGTGAAACACTACAAGCTTTTTGAATTCTTTTGTCATGTTCAGTTCTGCAGAGCCCAGACCCTGAGGTTTATAGTTGCTTTCCTGAAATGGGGTCAGTGACAGAAGATTTGCATAAAGAAGCATCCAGCAAAACTTGGACGCCTCTCCCTCACCTTCCTGTGCAGAACAAAAACATACCTAGTGCCCTGTATAGAGGGCTCAGGGGACTTTGCAATAGGGATTCAAATCACAAATGGCACTCAAATTATGACTATGTTACTACAAGAGAGTTTCCATTTGCCAGGGGGAAAGGGAGCATCAGCATTCTCAGGAACACATAAAGCTATTAGTCAGACTGCATCACTGGAAACCATTTGTTTATTTAAATGAAAGCTGTTGCAATAATTAACATCTTTATGAAAACATGCACAGTGGCTGCCACAGCCAAGAAGGCAGAGGCATTTGGGGATATTGTGTAATGCTTGCAGAGTATAATCATTCTTTTTTTCCTTTTTCCTCAAACTCCATGCAGTGGGACATCAACCCTGGGAGGAGCCTCTGCCATTAAATGCAGCTCTGACCTCCAACTTGGTCAGGAAGCTCCTGTGACACCACAGGATTCCTAATCACTACTGTAATTAAAACTAGAGAGGTGATGCCAAGTCAGCCTCTGCTCTGCAGCTCCACAAGTTTTCCCTCTGTGGGCACAGAGGATGAGAAGCTGGATGAGCCTTCAATTCTCATCCTGAAGCCAGTGTGGGTTGGGGTTGGGCTCAGGTGAGGAAGGGGGACACTGACCACTCTGCAGCAGGCTAGGCTCACATTTCCCTAGATTTTAGGGGAACAAGTGATGTAATGAGATCTCCTACTACAGACTCTGCAGTGCCTCAGCCACAAATGCAATACCCAGTTTAATCCAAACCTGCGAATTTTTTCTCATTTGTTTTACTTAAACAGGAAAATTTGGAAAACTCATGGCACTGGCCACCTTTCTATATTCAACTACTTTGAGATCAGATCAAATTTTTCTGTTTTAATGATTTTACACTCTAGTGTTTATGGAAATGGCAATGCCACACTTTACAGCGGGACAAAGCCAATGTTAA